CCTTCAAAACTACTCTTATTTGAGTGAAAATATACTTCTTCCTGAATTCAAAAAGAGAGGGGTGGGTGGGTAGGAGGCTTAAAGAATAAACAGTCCTTACACATTGAAAGTTCCAACTAACAACAAACTAGCTCAAAAGATCACCATTCTGTTCCAGTTAGAAAGAAATCAGGCAGGAAGTGTGTCTGTTATGGACAAATAGCAGGAATCATAGAATCATAGAATTATACAGCACAGAAGGCCATTCAGCCCATCGTGTCTGTGCCAGCTCTTTGAAAGAGCTATCCAAATTAGTGCCACTCCCTCGCTCTCTCCCTATAGCCCTGCAAGCTTGTCCTTCCCAAATATCTATCTACTTCTCGCTTGAAAGTTGTTATCAAATCGGCTTCCACCACCCATTCAGACAATGCATTCCGTATCCAAACAACTCACTGTGTGAAAACATTTCTCCTCACCTCCACTCTGGTTCTTTTGATAACTATTTTAAATCTGTGTCCTCTGGTTACCGACCCACTCACCAGTGGAAAATTTTCCCCATGTTCACCCTATCAAATCCCCTAGTTACATTTAAGAAGCAAACTTTACCCAGGTGACCAAACTTACTGAAGAACCATTTTAAGAAATTTAGGCGGATTGTTACATTTGTTGTTTATGAACAGGATGGAATGATCTGCCTGAAAGGGTAGTGAAGTCCAATTCAATAACAGCTTTTAAGAGAAAACTGGATAGGTATCTGGGGAAGACGGGTTTGCAGGGTTATGGGGAGAAAGCTGGTGATTGGGGTCAGTGAAAGTGACTTGCGCTGTCAAAGAGCCGGCACAGACTCGATGGGCCGAATGGCCTCCTTCTGTGCCGTAACATTCTATGAATCTATGAATCTATGAATAAAAGGAAAGGGGTGTAAATCCAAATGGATCATTCCGAAAAAAATATTGAGGTGGAAATCACAATGTTTTTTAACTTTTCATATGATAATTAAACCTGACAATATAAGACACATTAACATGTTCCCTCCATATTCAATGTCCAAACAACAGGAATAATACCTCTATAATAATAATCATCATCATCATAATAATAATCCTTACATTTGGTATAGCACCTGTGTGTTTTATGGGATGGTGTGAAGGAAAGTGACAATTCAACATAACTACTATATCATGTTAACCACATGTAACCAAGCCAAGAAAAGCAAAAAACTTTCACTCACAAAGTGTACATGAAGCATGACAAAATAAATATACTCAGCACATGCAAGATATCACTGTGGATTAAAATTTGATTTAAGTTGCCATTTCTTAGGATACAGGAACTTCATATATAAAAAAANTTGGAGGATGAGAATAACAACAACTTGCATTTATATAGTGCCCTCCATTGTGCACAGCAGTGTCCCACAAACAGTCGTGGATTGAGTGACCAAATTATTATTTTTTTAAGAGATTATTACCCCTGTAAAAGTGGTCTGCCAATCGACTAACAAGCACATTCCTACTTACTGCTAGGTAAACAGAAGCATGTGGAGCAAGGAAACCTGCTCAACGTTTCGTCTGTAAGCATTTAAGTTAATTTGCGGCGCATTTTGAGGCATATATAAAGGGAAGATTTACACCCATTCAGTGCAAACACACAATTCCAATCACAAGCCTTCCTCTAGAATACATTTCACAAGTGATGACACTAATTACAGCATGGGGCATCATTGACTCTAGATCAATAATACTGGATCTAGATAACCCCGATGACTCCAGGTGCTGCTGAACAGTATCCACCAAATGTTTGTTTCCTATAATAATAATCTTTGCATTTTGATATCGCACTTTTAACGTCAAAACACTTTGCAGATAATTGCTGTATGCTTTTGTAGACAAATAGGGCAGCCAATTTGCACACAGTAAGTTCCCACAAACAGCCAATTTATCTGAAGGATTGTTGGCTGCCCCATTGATGAATGACCAAATTATCTGGAGGATTGTTGGCCAGGATACCAGGAGAAACGTCCTTCTCTTTTTAAATAACATCAAGGGATTTTTACATCCACCTGAATGGGCAGACGTGGTTAGGGTTAAATGGCTATCTAAAAGACATAAAATTAGTCACTGTAATGATGCAGCAGCCTATACTATGAGTTGAAGTCCTGACCAGGGCATAAACCCAGAATAATTTACTCTCTGCCTTGCGAGATACTACCCTGCGTGAAGGGTCCCTATATAAATGCAAGTTGTTGTTGTTGTTGCCTCTGAGGAAGAGGTGAATTGCTACTTGTTATGTATCCTAGAGAAATACTGAGAGTAATGTGCTATGTAACATATTAAGCTCAGTTAGTGGAACTCTCACCTCTGAGTCAGAAGATTGAAGATTCCATTCCAGCGTCAGAACATTTAACTCACTCTAAAGCAGTGCTGGAGGAGTAAAAGTCCTATCGTTTGGATGCCATGTTTAAAACCAAGAGCCTCTCTGCTGTTCAGTTGGACATTAAGATCCCATGACACTATTTGCAAAGAGAAGAAAGTTTCTCCACATGTCCTTGTCAACAGGTGAAATTGGTCAAATGGCTGTTTGTGGGACAGAGTTGTGTGCAAATGTATTGCTGATTTGCACACAAAATGCACAGTCACTACACTCCAAAGTAAATACAGAAATACAGGTATACAGACATTGAAAGAGTTAAAACCAGTTTATGTTTTTTTGTTGGTTCAGTTGGGCTCACTTATTCCAGGACAGGCATTGCTTGGCAAGTGGAAAGGGTGCAGACAATCACAACCTAGCATGCAAAGGACCCACTGGCAGTGTAGAGCTCAACAAGGCTTTTGTACCTAGTAACCATTCAAGGGGGGGAAATGTTTCCCGAGCCTGAGAATGAGCACTTTATCAGCTTGTGAGCAAGTTCTATTCCATTGTAATTCCTGCACTCAGATTCATGTCTTTTTACGCTGTGACTTGTGTCCCCAAACTCGTCCTGTTCCTGTTAATCTCCCCCAAAGAATAGGTGAACAGAGAAGAAAATCCCAAAATATTACACACACTTTCATGAGGTCAAAACGCTTAATTATATGTCAGACCATAGGAGAGCTGCTCTTAACATTATGGTTATTTCCATCAATGAAAGCAACAGCACAGAAAAACATAGGCAGATTAATAAAATTTGCTCATTTAACATTGAATATGTTATATATATATATATATATATGAATCAATTCCTGTTAGGAAGGCAGGTACATTTGAAACATTTGAAATATATTGTAGAGATATTAAAAATGTAGATACATTCACAGTAAATAATAACAATAATCCAACTGGTACCCTCATATTTCTTTGCTGCTGCAAAGCATAACAAGTGAGGATGTTATATAAATAGACAGATAGAAACATGGCCCAGTATGTGACCATAAACATTTTAGTAATGGTAGGTTTATGAGCATCAGTGTGACCATTAGTCTGGTATGACAGCTAATCTGCGACACTTCTTTGAAGGTTGAGATCCATTTTGTCAAACAGATGTTGATAAACGGTAGAGGGCGCATCTTGTACTACACTGCATATGTCAAAGTGTGAAATAATGGGACTTGTTAGGAGTGCAGAAAAATAACTGGAAAATAGGTCTTGATCTGTTCATGAGTCCCTGTGTGTTGTTATATGTTCAACCAGGTCTCCGGATTCTAGCTGGTGGACATCAATATATGTTTCTCTTTATATGTGGGTGTATTATGGATTCCTTTTAGATGGTTTCAGATGTTGGTGCTTTATTCAAGTATTTCACTAATGACATTCAGTCTTATTATACCATTATGAAAGCACGCACAGAAATAATCTGTCAACTGGTAGAACTCATTTCAGACAAGGTTTTTTTCTCCCTGTCACACAAAATGAAAAAGTGCAAAAAGCTCAGCACTATCCATAGTAACGTGCATTATATAACGTACTGTTTAACATGAACTCTCATACTGTTACAAATGAATGAATGTTGCATGTCACAATTTTCACTTAGATGAATTGACTATCAATCTCGGCTTCTGTAAGTGCCATGTTTTTGCATTATCACCAAAACTGAACAAAATTTCTGTTTAGTATCTGACTTTCTGTGAGAGTCTGCTGCTATTTAATATCCATTTATTCTGCTTTTTCTTTCTTGGGCTTTTTATCCATCTGTTTCCTTTTCTCTTTCAAACCCTGCTGTGAAGACTGAGAAACCTCAAATGATAAATTTCATCTTCAATAAAAAGCCCATACTGTATGTGTCTCCCTCCCCCGATTTCTGCTGCCCGTGTTCTGTTGGCATGACAGTGCAGCATCAGTATCATTTGTTCTAATGCACTGGGACCCAACACCATGGTTGAATGAAGGAAGGCGTACACTTTTCCCTCTTATTCAATTAAATATTATATGGATGAGTAAGAAAGGCAACTGCTGGGTATTTCAATATAAATTGTGAAATTATGGAAAGGACTCTGATCTAGTCAATGTAGTGCATTAATTACTCTTTTCTGACTCAGTATGTCAGTGTGTCTCTCTCTCCTAAGCTTGCTCTTTTCGTCAGTGATGCAATAAAGGGATCGAAAAGGTAATTATATATCAAATTGATTAGCTTGATAAAAGGCACCAATTACCAATTTATCTGAAGAAACTGATTGAAGCTGTCTCACTGTCTTAATGTGTTATTGTGCCATATAAGGCATTGTATTCACCATGCAATAAGATTAGTTAAGTGCACGACACGCACCCAAAATGGGTGTTTGATATCTTGTATAACCAATACTTAACTACCATGTAGAAAAAAACAGTGGTTATATTTTCTTACTGTATTTACCCCAAAAATGACTCTATAATAATAATGGTCCTTGCATTTGGTATAGCACCTTTCATGTCAGGAGGATGCCCAAACTGCTTTACAGAATACACTGTGAAGTGCAGTGACTGTGTGCTTTTTGGCAAATGTTATTTTCTACTCTTTTTATTGCAGCAAAGTGTCTCTAATGCAAAAATGTTTTCTCCATGTACAGCGCCCAGTATTACCTTGACTCTTAGAAACTTACAGGACAGAAAAAGACCATTGAGTCTCTGCTGATTCTTATGTGCAAACTGAAGGAACCAACATCTGAGAAGTGAGAATGGGTCACAGCAAGATTATACCACAGCATTTTCTTTAAAGTGTGGAGAGCCAAGAGAGAAGTGGAAAAAGGCATAGCAGGTACAAAGCACAATATCCAACATGTTCCTCCAATCTTAGAATAGTAGAGAGAAAGAACTCGAAAACCCTAATGGACCAAAAGGAAGTTTATAATGTGGATGAACAGGAAATAGAAAACATATTACGTGATTACACCTAGGAGTTAATAAGGATGATCCCCAATTTAAGAAGAATAAACTCTGAGCAGACAAGTTAGGGCTCTTTAGTCTTGAAAGAAGATGACTCAGAAAGGATCTCACAGAGGTGTATAAATTTTTAAATGGGGTTGAAATAGTAAACCCAGAACAATACATTATACTGCACCAAGACATCCTAATAATTCCTTTGTTCTACCTCTCAACCAAGACATGAACCATTTAGTGATATCACTTTTCTTCATTAACATATCCAACTGAGTAAGAATAATAAACATCCTTCAGGTCCATACCGGGAAATACCACAAATTTATCAATACATTCCACTTAGCAGTACCAGGCAGATCAATAACAACTGCTTGCATTTATATTGCACCCTTCATGTGGGACAGTGTGCCAGAGGGCTTGACAGTGGTGGAGTCTGACTCCGAGCCAGAGGAGCGGGAGGGAGGAGGAGACTGTAAGCATGATCAAAAAGGAAGTTCTTTAGGCGGAATTTGAAAGGGGGGAGGAAGGGGGCAAAGCGGAGGGATTGAGGGAGAGAGTTCCAGAGTTTCGGGTTGTAGTGGCTGAAGGCACGGCCACCGATGATGGAGCAGAGGGGACGCTAGATCAAATACACAAGATAGAGATAAGATAGAATTACTCATTCCTAGCAAGATTACAAAAGTTACCAAGTTCAATTATTAGCAAAATTTTACTTAAAGGTATAATACGACAAATGTTCAATAATTTCCAATACAGGCAAACTACATAGTAATACAACAGTATACTAGTCAACCAGACAAGATTTCACCAATCTACAGCATTAAAGTAATATATGCTTCACAGTGACAGCCCTTATCAATAGTATATATGTGTTATTCTTATACGGAGGGACCAACCTGCTCATAAGGCTTTAATCCTAATAAATTTGCACTCCAATGCCGCAATATTCTTCCTGTAACATGATGAACAGAACTGCACACAGTATCGCAAATATGATGTAACCAAGGTTTATATAAATGTAACTTTACTTCCCTATTTTTATTCTTTATTCATCTGGCCATAAACCCAAGAACTACAGCTTTTACAGTAAATCCTGTGTTTTGATTATGTGATAAGGTGATACTTCAGTATCAAGGCTGGTTTTATTATTATAAATCTAGATCCAATTGGAGTTTCACTCCACAGTTCCATTCAGCTCCGAAGAAATCATGCTCCAGTTGTGCAGTGCTTTGTATGGTGCCTGTACATGGAGTACTATTTGCAGTTTTGGCCACTGCCTCATAAGATAGCCACACAAATTCCTGGAGGACGTATAGAGGAAAGCAATAAGGCTTATCCCCTGATCCCCAGGAGATACAGTGATAATCTAAGAAGACAAAATAACTTTGGGGCTCCTCAGCCTTGGAAAGAATTGGTTCAGAAAGGTCCCTATGATGGAAACTTATAAGATATTTAACAGGATAGAGACAGAAAACTGGCAACTGAGTGCTTTTTTAAGTTAGAGATATTTCTTGTTGCCCAAAAGGATTGTTAAGTCAGGACATTGGACTCATTTTATAATAATAATTATTATTATTTTAGAAAAAAGATAGATGCTATAATGGAAGGCTACAAGGTTAGTTCTGTAAAATTACAAGATTAAATAGGGTAAAGGGTGCTTTGAAGCTTCTGAACCTCTTATGTGAAGCGTTTGTTTGTCTCTGACATTAAGTTCAGATGTTAACGCATTAATATTTACCATCTTTTTCTGTCCAGGACCACTTCCTTTTTGTTTTCTGAATGTTTATTTCATTGTGTATTGGCTATGGACTCTTACAAGTCATGGCACGTTACATATCAGAAAAACACTTCTCTACACATGAATTGAGATGCTTAGAACATTGTCTGCATTCTAGCAGCACAATTTAAAGTATTGCCAGGATCGGTATTGCATCTTGCAGGAGGCTTGGGACAAATAGAAACTGAAGAGTACTTTACTTGTTGGTGTTAAGTGTGAGTGGTCTCAAAGCAGCTTGCAGACCGTAGTTGTGTCTGTGCAAATAGTGGAGTAGTTTTTTTCTTGCTCCTTTGTATATATATGTCAATCAGGAAGGGGTGGGGGGTGGGGATGGTGTGGGGGATGTTGAGTGAAACTAAAGTCTGTGGAGAATTAATTAGTTATAATTGTTCTCTAACTTCCTGTGCAATTTGCACATTGCCGACTCCAGTTGACAAATAGTAATAATCCTTCCATTTGATATAATGTCTTTTACATCGGAAGGATGTCTAAAAACCCTTCACAGAATATACTATAAAGTGTAGCGACTGTAGTTTGTAGGCAAATGCAATAGTCAAATTTGTCCACAGACGTGTCCACAAACAGTCAAGAAGTGAATGACCAATTTTTATTTGGGGAATTGTTGGTCAGGACATGAGGAGACTCCCATCTCTTTCGAAATAGTGCCGTGGGATCTTTAATGTCCAGCTGGGCAAACGGAACCTCTATTTAACATCTCATCTGAAGCATAGCACCCCAGCAATGCATCCAAGTGTCAACCTGAACTATATGAGTTCAAAGTCCCAATGTGAGGCTTGAACCCACAACTTTCTGATTCTCAGGCAAGAATGCTACCAACAGAGCTTGGCTGATACACACGCTTTGCAGGTATTTTCTGGGAGAGCCAGATTGTGTATAGTTAGGGGCATGCATCATCTCATCATTACCAGTAAAGAGAACTGTGCCAGCCCATCCAATACTAGGTCAAGTTTTCATTGTTTGCCCACGTATTCCCAGCGAAGTTAAAATTTAATCAGAATTCATTACTGTCAAAGTATCCAATTTATAGTAGAAAGTAGCTAATAGACTGAAAATGCAATATCCGCAACTGGAAGCCACTTCTCTAACAGCATCTTCAAGTTTGTGAATAAAATTGCAGGATTTTACTATAGCATTTGCTAAACAACATCAGGAAAAAATTTCAGCCTTGACGACACTCATGGCTGTTATGTGGGCAGCATTTTACCTTCAGACTTTTGGGGATCTTTTTACAGCCAAAATAATGAGCTGAAAGCAAGATGCTGGCTATTATCACACATTGGAAGTGCCCCCAACTATCCACAATCTGTCTCTCTCACAATAATTAGCTTGACAAAATACCTGCAGGAAATGTGTGTCAGCCTGACTCAGTTGGTAGCACTCTCACCTCTGAGTTAGAAGGTTGTGAGTTCAATGCTATAGTGAATCCTGCAATTTTATTAAACAAACTGGAAGTTGCTATTAGAGAAGCAGCTTCCATTAGCAGAGCAACTTCTCAAGTGCAAATATCCCATTTTCATCCCCAATATAGTCTCACATCTCAGAAAAGTTCCGCTATAGTGGTGTTATAGCAACCTGTTCATGGAGACAACACAAACATTTTAGACTAAACTGCTATAACGTACTCATTATAGTTAAAGGAAATATAGTTGCCTTAATGGTTACTTATTTTACACAATCATCTGCCACAGATTAATCTGCTTGGACATTTTGGTGTTTATTAGGGCCAGGAAGCAGTTCTGCAGCTGACAGTCATATGACAGTGTGCAAAAGTCAACCAACAAGACTGGCATATGAAACATAAAGGTCATATTTCCCAAAGTCAGTATAACCCATTTTTTCTGAATCGGATCCCATTCAAAATTCCTACAGGATCTTTTAGCATTTTTGAAACAAATCAAGTAGAATTCTAAATAACTTGTTGATGAATTTAAAAGATGTGATAAAATGCAATTTATTTTCTGTGAAGTTTGACCTTTGCTTTGAAAATAAGAACAGCGCTGCAAGCAAAGTGCAGATCTGGCATTTAACCTAATAACATTTCATAGACATTTGTTTATTCCACCTGACATCTATTAGGTATGTTTGGTGGTCAGGGATATTCTAGGTGCATCAGTGATTTTCTGAAAATAGCCACTAAGCAAAAAAGGTGACAGTAATTTATGGGTGGATAACCTTTGGAGGGTTATATTCCAAGAGTAGAGGGGGTTAGTGGGTGATCTAATAGAGATGTTTAAGATAATGAAATGAAAGTTACAAGTTAAAGAGGCAATGACACTTCCATCAGATGGGCAAAACAGGTGGACACCATCCTAAAATTAGAACAAAAATGGTTAGAAGTTGTTCAGATGAGCCGTTAAACCAAGGTCTCATCTGCCTTTTCAGATGGATCTTAAAGACACTATTCCAAAACAGAAGGGAGTTTTTCCCAGCAATCACCCAAATAAAATTGATCACTCGCTCCATGGCTGTTTGTGGGACATTGCTGTGCGCAAACCTGGCTGCCTTGTTTCACTCACAAAACACAGTGAATTCATTTTACAGTATATCCTGTGAAGCACTTTAAGACATCTAAGGTGTCATGATAAGCCACCTTATCAAATGCAAGGATTATTATTATTACTATTATAGAAGTGAAGCCAGAAGACAATTCTTCACGCAGAGTGTGGTCAGAATGTGGAATGTATTCTCCAGAATGTTTTAGATACAGAATCGAATACCATGCCTGAAAAGCGGATAGATACTAAGGAAACAAGGTATTAAGGGATATGAAGAAAAGGCAGGGAAATGGATTAAAAGATTTGCACAAACTAATAAAGTGGAACAGGTTTTATGGCTGGAACTGCTTTTTCTAAATTCCTAAATTGTTTTCCAGAATAAACAGTGCAAGGTAGCTGGATAGAACACATCTGCAGAGAACCAAAGACACCAATAATAACTTGTTGCAGTATATCAATGTAATATCATCCTTGCAATGTAATCTCATGAAAGCTATTAGATTTAGAAACTGTGACAAAGCTGCTTTCTTTGTGAAACTTTGAAAAATTGTATTCCTTTAATTCGATCAGAAATGAAGAGATGAGCAATTGGGACAATTATTTCATGTCTTCTCACTGAGTACACTGAGTGAAAGGAAACAGACAGAACAAAATGAAAAACACTTGATAACTAACAAGTAAAAGAGTGGCAGCAGATAAATTCATTACATGAGGTTGTTTTACAATGTTGTGACTTTGTATTCTATACATTTTCCTGTATGCACTTATGTGTGAAATTGTTTTTATAAAACAAGATAAGACTTGCTTGTGATGTCTTTTATATAAGCCAAGATGTTTGATTACTGAAGATGTAGATAAAATTATGTAGCTAGTATCTTTATGAATCTCAACATTTACAAAATGAATAAATCTTGTTTAATTGTAGACTAGAAAATGTTCATGTGGCTTATTGTAATTTTTTATTTTTTGGAATGTTTTACTCTGGCAAGTTGCAGAGCAAGTATAAAATGCTCAATGTTCAATGTTTGACATCCTGTTCAAATGTTCATACTACTGTGGGGAATGACCTTATTTAGCTCCTTTACCAATCTCTACTGTTTCCCTTCAACAATAAAGAGACTTCTCCCATCCTACAACATCTTGGATAATAGGGTCAGTTTGTGTTCTTTCTCTATGGATTTCTGATGTGGGAAGGCTGACCTAACTCAACCTATTTTTGGATCCCTGCAGACAGAGTGATGTGCATGACATACTTTCAGTTACATGTAGAATTCCCCATGCCTTTTTTTAATTAAGAATTTTGTTCAGATTTACCACAAAATTGTTCCCCAATATCTGGATAATATAGTTTTATGTGAGGTTAAAATTGATGTGTATAAAAGCCTTACTATAAAAATAGTATGAAAATGCCAAGTCTAAAGCTTTGGAAAGATATATCCTTTCAATGACTTGTACAGTGCAATGAAGTAGACAGGGGTATTGGGAATGCCAAGATGTTTTCATTTGTGCAAATTTTTTATTTGATTTACTCATCACAAAAATGCAGTGCATTTTTCTTTCCTTTTTCTTTCCTTTTTCTTGCACATGATAAAAGAATATGAATAGTGTTAGCATCTGTCAAATTCACCTAGCAATGTACTTAAAAATGTCAAAAGAAATAGACAACTTACTATCCATTAAGGAGCGGCAAAACAGCAGCCCAAAATCTTGATTGTTATACCATCTTCATAACATTCGCCTACAAACATACACACGATCACTTTGCAGTGTGAAGTGCCTTAAGATGCCTCAATGACATGATAAGGCGATACATCAGATGCAAGGATTATTATTATTATTAAAATAGGTAGTGTATTTAGGACAAACTGAAATCTACCCAGTAGTGTTTTGGTGAATCTTTTCTTTCTCTTAAAGTTTGCATTTACATCCTTTGAAAAAAAACTGTGTGTTATCCCTTTAGCAACATAAAGATATAATGTTTGTTGACCTTCAAGAGTTTTTGCCATTTGTTGCCATCAGTAGTCGCAAAGTGAAGAATCAATTACTTCTGTTGAAAGGCAGGACTGAATCATGAAAGAACTTTTGTTTCATGTGATAAGATAGTGAAGTACAAAAGAACTACTTAAATAGAAGCAATTGCATGTAAGATTAATGGTTAGGTTCATTCAACTTCAGTTATCTTCAGCCCATCCTGGAGACCTTTTATGTTAGAGAACAATCATGTTGCATGTAGTAAGGAGAAGAGATAGTGAGGGAAATAGATTTACACTAACAAAAGTTGAAGAAATAAATCACTGCTTACACAATGCTGCACAAAATAGGGGAACAGTGGTGAAGGGCATCCTTCTTAATTAATGGGATATTGGGAGTTGTGTTCTTTTTGCTGCTCAAATTGTGACTTTGTTGATGTGTAATTATAATGGGATTCTCCACAGTGGCAAATATGTTATGGCTCAGTTGGTAGCAGACTTGCTCTGAGTAAGAAGGTTAAGGGTTCAAGTCCCACTTCAGGCCTTTGAACTCGTATTATCGGGAAGACTGACATTCCAATGCAATGCTGGGAAAGCGCTACATTGTCTGAAGTGCAGGTGAGATGATAAACCTAGATCTTATCTTTTTGTTCATGTGGATGCTAAAGATCCCAAGGCACGAAAAGAGAAATGAATTTCACCCAGTGTCTTGGTCAACAATCCCCCAGATAAGATTAGTTATGCACTTCATGCTGTGTCCAACTTGACTGCCATGGGTACAAAATACACAGTCACAACATTTACAATAAATCTTGTGAAGTCTTTGAGACATCCTCCCAATGTAAAAAGGCTTTTTATCAAATGAGTAGATGGATTATCATTTATTATTTATATCTCAACAAAGATTTGGTTCCCTGCATATCCTTCACAGCAGAGATTTTCACAGCAGCATGGGATTACATTGTTGTTTCAAATTCAAGCCCAATAAAACCAGTCAAATAGCTAACAAACTATCTAATTTTGACTGGGTAATAACCATTGGTGACAAATTCTCCATATGACAACCTGTGAGAGAATGAATGAATTAAAATGTATGTGGCTGATGTGGTGACACTGTGTTTCTCCTTGCTATAGGCAGACGATCAGTGATATGGAAAATGGTTTCCTAGATGCATCCTTGTCGTAGGTAGAACAAATATAGATGTATATTACTGTTGTATAAAATTAAGTTTGGAGCTGATATAAATTTTGCTCCCTATGGTGCACAAGCGTGAAATTCCATCTTGTCTTGTCCTGTAAGACCATATTGTTTCTACATTAAGATTATGTAGAAATTATGGATTTTTGTTACCCAGTAAATCCTGTGAAGCACTTTGAGATGTTTCACCACATCTTAAAATACTATATCAAATGCAAAGATTATTATTATAAAGTGGGAGAGGTGGAGATTGGGAACAGTAAGATTATCACCAGAAGGGTTAATAAGTGGTTAGAGGAAACTACAAGCCAAGCATTATAGAATCTGGAATACTTTGGCATCAATAGCTTTCAAGACAGAGGTCACAGAATAATTTGAAAGATGTTCTAATGCAGTTCTAATTAATTTTGTGCAAAAAACAGCCTGCTCAGGGATATGAAGTACTAATGAAAGGCACCAGTATTATCAGATATAGTTTTTTTTTGCTTTGTTTGTAACTGAGGGTGTATCACAAAGCCCTCTCTCCCCTTTCTCATTTACATGCTCTCTTTGTGATATTATCCGGAAACATGGGAGTCAACTTCCACATGACTCCCAAATCTATTTCTCCTCCCCTAGTCCTGACCCCAGTCCTAGCAATGTTCCAACTGTCTGCTTGTCTGACTTCAAGGCCTGAATTAGCACCAACTTTCTGCAGCTAAACATGGACAAGATAAACGCCATCCTCCTTGGCTCCCTTCAATGTCTTCTCACTGTGGTTCTGAACTTCCCTGATTATCCTTCAGAATCCCCAAAACTGTTTGCAACCTTGGCGTCAAGTTCAATACCCAGTTAACCTTCCTACTTCAGAATTGGTTCCAAACCAGCACTGCTTTCCTTCACCTCTGCCATATTGCCCACCTTCACCTCTATCTTACTTAAAATGCCACTGAAACGCTCATTCATACTTTAATCACCTCCCATCTCAATTTTTCCAATGCACTCCAGCTCCACTATAAACATGATCCAAATGATATAAAACTCTGCCATCCGAGTCACATCTGTTCTCTTCCCAGCTCGATGTCATACCACACTGCTACTTAGCACTCCGAGACACTACCCACATGAAGGGTGCGATGTAAATGCAAGTTGTTGTTGAGTTGATTGGCCATTTATCATCAAATGTGCCTTCACTTCAGCTGATCTTGAAATCAGGCTCTTTCTGACCTGCCTTGTGATAAGGGTGAAATTATTGACATTCTGATCACTGGTGCACATGTGTACTCAAACCTTAAAAGCCTTTAGATTCCCAGTTTTTTTAAATATACTGCAGGAAGAACCAGTTAGCCATGAATTTACTGTCACATGGCATGCCTCGGTGATCTATAATAATTATTAAAGTCTTTTTTNCAATGTTATTGGCTTTTACTGAAATTAACTCAGGAAATTTTAATTTGAGATTAAACTAGTTTTTATTACCCTAATATTAATAATGTCCACTGCAATCTAATTTCTCATCTTCCTGCAAAACACTTCAGGTCATGTTGTATGAAATTCTAATTCATATAAATCTTCAAGCTATATTTATTAAACCAAAAATATAAACATATATTCTTTCTCCTTCCATAGGAACTATCAAATACTCTGTAATATTTTCACAAATGCACTTTAGATTATTAATGTAGTACTGATTCCTACAACTACATAGTTGTTCATTTAGCTTACCTCATTTTTTTAATGCCTCACCTCCCTTATTTGGATTTATTATACTCCAGTTGTATACATTTATTTACTAGCCTCAATTTGTGTCTTTCCTTTCCCTTCTCCGTCTACTTCTGGATCAAATGCTTTCCAAATGCAAATGTAAACAAGAGGAAGCTAACCTATTGGGACTGGAGTGTCACACTTGAAACTCTCTAACCTATTTTTAATCTTTCACATGTTGATCAATGCTGTGCATTTCCAGAATTGTCTGTTATTGGTAAATTAATTCTGCTTCCATTTCCTGAATAAAGTCTCAGGTCAAGTTAGACGTAGTTGCTCCTTTCTAAACAATTCATGCTTTCTTTCTTTTCAAATGTAAGTAGTGTCCAATTTTTTTTAAATATTCTTCTCACTGGCTCATGCCTCTCTGCTCCTGTCTATCTTCCTCTTGCTGGAGTATAGTTCTGTGCAGTTCTGTGGACATGGTTTCCTAATATCTTTCACATAAAAGGCTATTTTTAAAGTATGAGCTTTGGCAATGAGTGTCACAGGTCAAACTTTAACTATAGAACAACAAAATTACATTTGTATAGTGCCTTTCATGTCAGGAGGACATCCCAAGGTGCTGGACAGACAGAGTTACGGACCCGAGCTGAGGGTAGGTGTGGGGGAGGGTGGAGGGCAGAGGGGGGAAGCAGGGAGATTGAAAGACGGTCGAAGTGGAGGGTCTTGAGATAGGTCTTGAAGGTGGCAAAGGAGGGGGCGAAATGGAGGGACTGCGGGATGGAGTTCCAGAGGGTGGGGGCGGAGTGGCGGAAGGCCCACTTGCCAATAGTGAAGTGAGTGAGGCTGGGGACGTGAAGCAGGCTGAACCCCGCTGAATGGAGGGAGCGAACAGAATGGTAGGGGGAGCAAGACCATGGAGGGCTTTGAAGGTGAGGTCCAGGATCTTGAACTGTATTCTCTATGTGATGGGAAGCCAGTGGAATTGGGCA